ACAATTTATACTATTGTCTACTATTTATAACATATTTCTCATTAAATTATATTTATTAATTGAATAGTAACAAATATGTAACCTAGTACTTAGGCATTAGGAGTTACTACTACATTTATTAAAATATTTAATAAAATAGAATAGGGAAAAAAATCCATTGAATGAAAGCCATTCACCTAAATCAAACTTTTCTCTATCTAGTAAGAATTTGTTGAACCTAAATAAACAAAATAAATTGTATATAAGCAAGTAGGAATCGATGGGTCATGGAAGCAATCAAGTAAAGATACTTCCATGTGCTTATTTAAGTGCATATAACAAAAGAAGGTAAATCAATATGTTTTATTACCAGTATATTGATAGCAAAGTAAATAAAATATTGATTAGATTATAGCATTTGTTTGGTTAAGATTATTTTTTCCCTTGCTTCACATTCAGCAGGTTTATCAGGTTTTGCATCTTTCCTACGCTTTCAAATAATGAAAAGGTACAGTGAAGCAAACAAAGGCATCTTTTACTACAAAGTATATAGATTTTTCGCTTTTGCCGGATTCTCATGTTTTTCTTGTTGCAGTCTCATTGATTCACCTCAGCTTGCTTTCCATCTCCGAAGATATCATTTTGATCCCGAAGAATGGTGTAGAAAATAAGCAAAGATATTATTTTTTACCAACTCTACAAGGAGTATCTATGCTTAAGGTGAAGGCATACTCAAAAATAAGATTAGATTCAAAATCTATTTTTGCCTCTTTAAAAAGTAGTTAAGGAGCTATTATTACTGATGTAAATGGTTAAGAATGCATTATTATTAGTGTAATGTTTCTTTTTAATAACGTATCTCCCTATTTGTTATTCTTTTCTAATTGCTATTTACTATTATTAGACCAAAGGCGCGTTAGCCCAGAAGGGCCGCTAGTCTCGAAACGGCATTTAAATTGTAATCAATTATATGCGATGTATCACTTTTCAAATTGCTGCCACGAAATATTATATCCTGTATTATATTTAAAGAAACTAAATAATGAAGGCATTGCATGACTGGTACGTATGTTTCTTGCATTGTTAAAAAACAGCGGTACGTAGAGTCATCAAATTTTCAATAACATAGCATTCCACGCGAACATAGGCACTTGGAAGCTCTAATTTCGAATTTCGAATCCATTTTATTTTCTATTCATATTTTGTAAAACTTCAACGAAGTAATTTTTAATTACAAAACTCAACAATTTCAAAGAGAGTAGCGGCAACACTGTAGGGAATAATATATTTTTATTTTCTTCACGCACGAGACTCTATCGGAAATTCTAAACATATGCTGTTTTTTTTTAATATTCTTAGACCAAAGTGGCGTCAGCCCAAATGCTCTCGAAACGTGGGTCTGTAAGTGAAAAACGCCGGTTTGGGCGTAATATAAAATCTGAGAGCTTTCAGATTGTATTTATTTTTTCTCTAATGTTGCTATTTTATAATGATGTATGCTTTATGAAATGAAATTAATAGCAGGGACTGATGGTGTCTTTTTCGATACATTAATGGCCTATGTTATAAACTGACATCCGCTTTAAAAATTAAACTTCCGCATAATCCATGTATATTTGCAGCTGTAAACTGCACGAAATCCAAAATATCAATCTTTTAAAAATATTTTTTTGGCTCTCAGAAATACTGAAATTTCTTTTCTTTTGAGCAATTTAAACAGTTTATAAGAAGTAATTTTAGTCCCATACGTCAGCAGTAGCATTTTAACTAGGTTATGAATAAATTTGGAGATGCCATAACATATGTAAAATTCCGTAAAAATATTTTTAACGCTATTATGGTATTTCATGCTATCATACTACTTGATCTTATATATGTGTATTGGGATGACTTGGAGAAAGCTGCAACGTACTGGCGATGGTTCTTTGCGTTATAATAACTTGGAGAGGCCTTTACTGCGTAGTTAAAAAACGACACTCGAAGACAGACGTAGCCTTAAATACCACACGTAATTTTATTCCTAGATAATTGATTCTGACGACAAATATCCTTTTTCATATAACGTCATTGTAGATGTGCTATGGATCCCATAATTGTACGCAAATTATACGTTTAGAACAATGGAAATATCTGGCAAAGAGTAAGTGAGCGTATTAGCAGTTTTAATGGGAAGAGAGCTGAAGCAAGAGTGCACAGTTATCCAACATGGAAGCTCACCAACAGAAGGTTTCGGTTTAAGTTGCTTATTTAGAGAAAGTTTAAGTTCTCGAAATTTTTAATTTAAGTTTCGAATTAGCTATGTCATCGACGTTACGCAAGTTATGTGAGATGGATTGATCTTGAAATGACGTAATCCAGAAAAAAGTATTACTATTTTTAAACTAGAGAGGGATGGGCAAATAAGGACTACTGCTAGTTTAAATTATAATTTTGAGATTTACATATTTTTTATCTTACATATATAGGTTTTACTAAATGTTTTCCAGTGTTACTGCTAGAAAAATAAAAAAATCACGCTTTACTACATACGTTAATTTATGGCAATATCCCAATAATTAGTAAACCACAGATGCTTATACTCGTAAAATTATCAACATGTTGCATTTTTTTTGCCTCGAAGTTTCTTCCAGTTCCAGTTCCAATTGCCGCGTCTATATTGCTATTTTTGCAAGTTGTATACTTAAATTTTGTTTGAAAGGTTTAGCAATTAGTAATCCCTTCTCCCTTATTATTATTAACTGATTGTTACTGCTTAAATCTGAAATCGAAATTTCGGTAAATTCGTTTAGTTACAAATACAGTGTACATTATTTTCTTGAATATGAAGTATAAAAATAATTTTAAATATCAATACGAGGCATGTTTTTATTTCTGTTATAGAAACAACTTCAGCAATGTCTTATGGCAGTTTCTCTGGAAAATAAATAATATATTACATTCTGCAATATAAAATTTCTTCGAAATCCTTATAAACTTGGAATGGTAAAGTGAAGTTTTTTTCAGTAATTAATATTCATTTTGAATTTTTGCTAAAATACTCTGATGTTTTTGAACGAAAAATCCTTGAATATTTGCTCAGATAAACGGCCTGAATATCATGCAGTCCTTTTGTAAAGTGGAATCCAACCACTAAGGGAATGAAAGCAATTGATTTTGTGATTAGTAACTCTTTTCAGTAAGATATTATTAGCACATTCTCTTCAGAAGGATCGAAATTCCTTTTATACGAACTCTGATGACGCGATGCGATTTTTAAGATACGATGGTCCACAAGAATGGGAAATTTTTCCATTGTGCTCAGCATTTCGGAGCTAGATTTCTTGTAATGATCTTAAAAAGTGATCTTAAAAAGAGAAACTGAAAGCCTGCTTTTCTTATTTAAAGCTGTAGGATTCCAGTTATTGAAAACTGGTGATCAATCTGAGATATGATTCTAATGGTAAAATGCCCTTCTAATCGATTCAATATCTATCAGTTTCTTAAAAATGGAATAATTAGATCAGGCAAAGGAGCTTAATGATGACTATAATGAAACGTGCTCAGATATTTCTATAGCAAATAATGTTGAATTAACTCTTCGGAATGTTAAGTATATCTTAAATTAAGGAGTTCAGTACTGAGAACATAATAACATGTGGGGCTTTGAATTAATGTTTATATTTCACAAAGTTTTAATAGAAATCCATTTTTACTCTGAAAGGAGTATTCTACAATATATCGTATAATGAAATAAAGGTTAAATACTTTGTAAACAATAAACGTTTAGAAGGTAGTGTAACTTTTGATAGCTACGTGCTCCGTTAAACTCATTCGTTTCTTCAGCAAAACTGAAATTATCATTTCCACGGTTAAATGGTGGAAAAATCTTCGAAATAAAAAAGCGAGATCAAAATGCTCAAATGTTCACGATTTCGGAATACTGCATTTATGGTCAAATGGGATTTTTTACAATTATTTTAACATACACGACTTTTTAATAATTTTTTAGACAAGTGTATGGTACGAAAAGGTTCAAAAAATACTGCTGTTAATACGTATTTCCCCTCACCATTCGGTCAGAGGGCGCTGTTTGTCATCCGATAGTCAATGATTCGTACATTCGTCAAAGAAATTAAGGCAATATATCAAAACAAGTACAGGTATGAAATACCAGGAGAGTTATTACATTAAAATCCAAAAAATAATTTGTTCTCATAGTAGATTTGGGAAATTATTGTTATATTCCTTGTTCATGAATTTTATTATGTTGTTTGGAGAAACGTTTTTGCAAGATAAGCCACGCTGAATCATAGTATGCAAAACTAGTACAGATGGTAACTTCATACTTTTGCACTACAGTTTGTAACAATTATTTCATTGGTGTATGAATGAAGAAATTTTAAAATAAACGTTATAAGAAATTAATATACAAAGATTCTCTCCGAGCAGCGTGTATTTATGAAAATATAATTAAATAACGGCATTGAACGCTAAATTCTTGTGCGCTATAAAATTTATTTAGATCGTCTGACAAAATGCATTTTATAAACTTATTATAAGAATTGTATTCACGAATTTATAAAAAGTGCTATTTCTTGCACTCCTTCAACAACGAATTTTCAATAAATTCACTGCCTGTTCGCAAATAATTTATTAATTTTTGTAATTAAAAATTTCTCTCTGTAGTTTTAATATTTAATATACTGACAAGTAATTTTATTTTCTTAGTTCAAAAATATGTCCCTCTGGAGTTTCAATTCTTATACTGACTACTGGCCACTTTGAAAGGACTAAAGGCAACTAACTGTAATGTGCTCGAATTTTAGTTAAGTCTCAATAGATGCTGTCATATCGGTATTCAAATTTTAATATAAAGTATTAAGGTATTTTAAATTAACGGCGTTAATTTAATCACAAGAAATCAAGTTACAGGAAACATAGGATTTCCAATCTTTATTCAATTACGGAAATGTGTATTTAACTTTTAACGCTTCATATTTAAAAAACTTTATTCTTTACATATTACATTGAATTGTTTTCAGCACCGACAGGAAGCTTATATCGACTTCGGTCCTAGTCAGACTGTAGTGACGCCCAGTATATGTCAGTTTGACGCCAATGCTGTGCCCTTTGCCACACTGGACTACCATCGGCGTCCGCCGCCTTCGATGGTAGGAGGAGTCATGCCACCACACGTTGAGCCTGAAGACGAGAGGAGAACTTTGCCACGTGGAAGAGCTGCCATGCACAATCCTAATTTCCATGGAAATAGGGTAAGCCCATTACGTAAATCCAACACTGTAGTTACTTACTTCAATTGAGAACTTATCTTTCATTCGCTTCATTTATAAAAATACAAAACACGTTAATAAATATTTCAAAAATGCTTACACATAAGTATCCTTTATAAAAACTAGACGGATTCGCTACCCATTTATATGCTAAATATTTTTGTAAGATCTCTGTGGTCACATTGAAATCACATTGAACAGAACAGTTAAATTTGGATACCGCTTTTATTCTTAAGTATTGAATGGAAATACTTTTGGCACTTTCATTTATTTTCCAATTACTATAATGTTAATATTACAAAAGAATTTCTTTCATGTTTCTTTTAAATTTTATTCAGATTTCAAGTGCTATCTTTTATATCACGATTTTAAAGATATGAATCAAAGTTATAGTTGTCTAATTAGAGTTATGACAAAACATTAATGTACAGCATGGAAGGCTGCTTCCAAGTAATCAGATCAGCGAATGACTTGCATACATGACAACAGAGTATTTTTATTATTTATTCATTTATTTTCCTCTTTTTTACCCCTAGCTTTCGTTTTGCTGTTACTATAGGTAATCTCATGTAGCTTAATCAGAATAAGTCGACGAATTTTATTGTGATAAGAAATAGAAGACTTCGTCTGTTGTTAGCATGAGCTTTGAGCATTTTATAGGGGAACAAACAGTACGAGTTCACCCAGATCCGCCCTAAGGATTCAAGAACGCCCTAATTTTGAAGGAAGTAGCCCTGAGCAAACCACTCAAGAGAACTTTCGGCTTGCCGTATATTTTGAATTCCCTCCATGCTGCACTGACATTATATGGTACATTTGTAAACATCTACGCCTTCACTGGGATTCGAACCCGAACCTTTCGGTACTGTATCAGCATCACTAACCACTATCCCATTTAAGGCGGCAGCATTTGTTCTTAGTACAGGGACTGAAAGCAGATATCGAAGAAAAGTTATACAGCTGTGACCATACGTAGTCAAAATGTCATCTTTGATAAATTATCCTTGTCAATTAGCAACAGGAATATTCTAAATAAAAAATAAATAAGCATTTATTGCCGTATACCGGGATTGTGTCAGTTTACATTAAACATCACGCTCCAAAAACGTACTGCGAAACTTACTCGCATTTACGCACATGAACCTAAAAATTCAATTAGTAGTATGTATTACTAAAATATAAATTTTTAAAATTATACTTTAATATTTTCAACCATTTCCAAAGACTTGAAATCTTTTACATATTTCAGAGAATAGGTGCTTATTTGTCTTTTAAAATGTTACTAATTGTTATTTCATTATTATTATTATTGTTGTCTTAAGATGTCTAAACTTTACTCTGACAAATTGTTATATTTATTCTTCTTTTGAATGTACACAAATTATAGTTATTGAAATTAAATACTTCATTCATTATATTTAGTTAAGAAGTTTGCAATTATCTACATGTTTTTTATCCTAATACTTCGCTTTGCGCACTGCTTCGATGTGCATGAATTAAACGTTTAGCATTTAGTGTACTTTTTGCTCGTCACTGGACGCAAGCAATTGTTTTAGAACTTTCCCCAAAATTTTAACTAACATCATTACGTTCTTTCTCACTTATTTTGATAGTATTTTATTTTATCCATTAATTTATTTTTGGAAATATTTGTATTGAAATAGTCTATTCGGAATTTTTGAATTTTCCTTTTTTATTTATGGCAGATTACGCTAATTGCGCTTTATTACGCTTTAAAAACGCCTCGATGTTTTTGAGATTTTGAAAAGTTTTCTTTCATTTTTGATTAATTTTAATTATTTTTACAACATTTGAATATATTTTCAGTATTATGTTGAAACGGAATTTCCATGAGTTGCAAGTGAAAGACTCTTTCCAGGTTAGTTTATATTAAAATCCTGCTTTTCGTTATTTTGTGAACAAAAATTAACTGTTTTGGAGACAACATTGCTTTTATTAATTTTAAGTTTAAATCCTTGCTGACTAATGAAGCGGTACGAAAGATTTTGAAAATATATTCATTTGTTTTTTAGTTCTGTTTGGTTTTTTGTAATAACTTGTGTTACTTAGTAATAACTCCAACTTTTGTTAGAGTTTTATTTTTTAATTCCAACCAAAAATCTGCGGTTAATTAAATTTAGCTCATATTATTGATGTCTAAAAAATGAAAATAGTGAAATTTTTAGAAAATTATACAAAATGAATGTAATTATATATTTTTTTTAAATATTGATCACAAAATTTTAAATTAATCATAATTTGTAATTCAGTAAAAACAAAACTATTAGTTTTCATACACTTTGTATGCTTCATTTTTCTCTTATATAGGAAAGAATTAACATTTTAATTATAGTACATGATGTAGTTTTAATTCTAAATATTGTTACATACTTTCTCTTATAATTTATGCTATTTTTACAGGGCTTGAAAAATGTCATTGAAAGTTAACAACTAGAAATAATTATTCATAAATTGTTGTATTTTAAATAAATATAAATGCATTAACCTCACAAGTTATTAATTTTACGTAAGTACTTTAGTTCAGGGAACAATAACCTGTATGATATAAATTGCCTCACGGTATTTTTAAGGGATCTCAAAAATTCTTCAGCTTGAAATTTCAGATCCAGTCATTCTTTTTTTAGAAATTTTACAGAGATACGTAGCACACAGAAAGGAAGTAAGGAATGCATAAATTACACGGATATAATTATATAACATTATTTAAATTTTAGTGTTTAATACTTAACGTTTATAATTCGATGTTTAATAATTAATACTTTTATTATTATTGTTTAATATTTACAAAATTATTTAAAATTTACAAATGCTAGTACATATCAACTACGAATCTTATCGAATTTAATTTCTTTCTCTGCAGTAAGTTTTTTTGTACTTGCACATGAAGTATACAGATGTATGCCTTTTTCTGTTTTTATTCTGATGATCACATAATTTTTATAGTTGTTGTGCTTCTTTAAATTTCGTTTCTTTGTAAAACGTTGATTTTTTTATAATTCGTTTATTTTTAGGAGGTCTATACACCACCTCGGGCTAGGAGAACCACAATTTCGACACCGGTGTGATGCCAACTTATTTATTTCGGTGAATAACTCCAAGTATGTTGCGGCAATTTTGGCCGATTGTCGTTTTTGAAAATATGAACTGTTTGGACTCTTTCAGTTATAGAGTTTCATGCGATGCCACTGACATCCGATGAATAGCGGAAAATGGCATTACCAAGGCAACAGATTTTGTGACTATTTGCTTCCATCTCCTAAGCACAGACTAATATAAGACAGTACTTTTGTACTGAGTACATATAGAAAAGTGTACACTTTAGTCGCACATTTGCGCTAAAATAATTTCGAAAGATACCAGAACTGGCTATATAATGTATTAATGAAAAGGGCATATTTTTTAAATTTAAATAGCACTAACCATGTGTTGAGATTTGAATTCAGACTTTCCAAAACTCATTACTAAGCAAAGTAAGAATGATTCTGAACTGCAGTTTCGCATTACGTAAGTCAAATACAGACTGTATAGTAATTCTAACAGCTAAAACAATTTTAATTTAAATTCAAGCTATTTACTTTTCAGTGCGTGAAAGCATGTATGAAAAACGAACTGTTAAAATAAATATTATGAAAAAAATTGAGACTGATGCTAAGAAAATTGGAAAGTAGCTGATGCATATACTATCGAACCCCATTAAAACGAACCTGGCTTATAACGAACCCCCGGATATATCGAACGAACTTTTGTTTCCGCCCAATATCCTATATACTTAACATTATTTTACAATTCTATAGAGAACTTCTAGAAGTAGGAAAATTGGTTATAACGAACTATATGGATATCTCCAATTGAAACATTTTTTTGTATGTGTCGCATTTTTGGGGGAATTTCAGCAAGTTTTGATGAAAAGACTACTAACCCTTAAAAATCATCCAAGTTCAGGATCCTAGTTCCACACTTCATTGGTAAATGGAAACATCTTTACATTGATTTTCTTTCATGTTCAACTCCATTTTTCTCTGTGAAAGACTATGCGAAGTAGGTGCGACATCCAATCTAGGAGAACGAGGGCGCAGAAAGCGTATGTCTAGGATACCACATGAAGTTCTTTGTATATAGTATATGTGACGATTAATGAGAGATTAAGTGGAGCCTTTGATTCCATTCAAATTTTTTGACTTATCTGTAGGATAGAGTTCAGAAAGGCTGATATTATGAAGAAAATTTTGAAATTTTCCTTATTCAGGTAAAAAAATGAAGTACTGAATCTAATAAGTTTGGATTATACAGTTCATTCGTTTTTTAGCGAAAGAACAGTTTTTATCCTTAATCTTTTTTCTTTTATGCGTGTGTGTATATCTGTGTGCATGCTGATGTTGTTTCGTTTGTGTATAAATGCTGTCCAAATTCTGTCCTCTCAATGGGGCTTTTGCATTCATTTGAAAGTAAATGATATTCTTTATAAATGTTCTTGAAACTTCCCTTAATAATCCTACATATCTTAAGTAAGTTAAAGGTAAATTCGTCAATTTTTTATTTCTATTGTGTATTTTTATTTTTATTTTATTTATTATTTTTTATTTAGTTTAATTAATTAATTAATTAATTTTTTTGTTTTTTGTTATTTATTTTCATACAAAGATAAAAATAGGATTTTTATATAATACCGTGAAATAATCCGCTTTCTTTATCGAATCAGATACAGCGAACTAAATTTGTATTCCCTTGAAGTTCGTTATAGAGATGTTGCGTGTGTATGAGTCTGTGTGCAAATAGCATTCAATAGGAAGTTTGGCATAACATCGAAAATGGAATTAATAAAACAGAAATCTACATTACATGACAAATGTGATGTGAAAAATAAAAGATGTCAATAATGATAAAATTATGATGGAAACAAAGAAATGACGAATTATAAAATTCCAAGATTCGATTGTGAAACTGTACAATACTTTCAAAATGTGCTATATTAAAAGGTATTCTAAGTTTATTCTACAGTTAAATATAAAGACAAATAGAAAGCTTTTGTTAAAACCGGATATTTTGTGAAATAGGGAGTAAGCAGACGAAATGTTGCCAAGCTGAAGAAATTTAAGAAAGTACGAAAGAATGGCTGGTGTTTTAAAATATCTATAAACTGGTAAATTATATTTACGATCAGTTCTGATCTTCATTTAAGACTATTTTCCTTTCTTTTCAGTATTATAAAAGTGAACTTCAGCTATAGTTCAGTCATTAAGTGAGAATACGTGCATAAAATAAATCAAAAACTAAATTTAGAAATTTGGAATTCCGTAGCTTTGTTCCTTTTAGCCTCTCGCTCTGCGACAAGATTCTTTCTTTGCTAGGAAATACAGAATTAGATTCAATACAAATGGAAACTCTTTCTCGCATTATTTTGCGTATTTAACTAATTTTTTAAAAAATATTGTTGTTAAGTTTTTATTATTATTTTTCATATGACGTAATTAATTGGGATAGTTTAATCTGCTAATTAAATCTGCCTTGAATAAACTGTGCAAATTATTGAAAAATATATTTATATATTTAGAATAACTTATTATTATAAAAGTTTGATAATAATTTAGACATTTCTTTTAATTATACAAGAAGCACGGTATCGACTGACTGATTGCGTATTTGAATGTTTCACTAGCACATTAATTTGTTCATATGAACTGGAACGGTGGAGATGTCATTTCATATAATCAGTCAATGACCATAAAAATTATAAAACTTTAATGATCCAGGCATAGATGTCTTTATAAGTGTGTTCTCAAGTTCATGTTTGTTTTTGTGGTGTGGTAAGAAAATGGAGAAATATATGCAAGCATACACGCTAATACATATTTAATTTTTGGCCAGTTTTTTCAGCAACAGTTTTCTTAAATAGTTTTCTGTCTAGGCGATGGTGCACTTTATATGACACTAATTTAGGAATTCCAGGATTTGCTTTTACAAACAAACATTTTGAAATCCGTTTATGACTTAATTCAAAGTATGGAGCTTACATATAATTACAGGATTTGGAAGCAAATATGAAACATCAAAGAATTTGTACGGTGTGCCTTGACGTAGAGAAATGAAAGAATGTTGCAACTTTTATCTAAACAGTTGACTCTCTTTACGTTAAATAAAGTGAATCAATAACGCATGAGGAAACTTGAAGCTATCAAAGACTTCTCCTGAGGTTCGAAGGCGTTACAGAAAATGATACATTTATTAGAGGAAAACATCAGCATAGAAGTATCATTTCTGATTTAAGAACTTTTGTTGTTTTTGTCTTAGTAGTTAATGTGTTCCTTCAGAATTGAATGAGGAAAATATTGAATCAACGTTTCATAAAATAGGTAATAAATTTGCTGATCCTTACGTACTAAATAGTGTATTTGTGGCATCACAAAATGAAGGGTACTTCTTATTAAAAAGGCAGCAATTTTAAATCATAAATCATTTAAACCATGGGGTCTGTTTTTTTCCCTTCGAAATTTATAAAAGAAATAAGTGATAATATATATTAAATAAAACGCATTTTGACCAAACACACTTGTTATTTAGATTAGTAATAAATATTATTCACATAAGTTCCCAGTAAAACATATGTGTCATTTTGAAGACATTTAGTAAAATCAATAAAATTTAGATTATCAGAATAGATAAATAGAACAACATAATACACACGAAATATTCAACTCATTCTAATAGTTTTGTTAGAATATTTCAGATGGACGTTATTGACGTATATACAAAATATGATTTAATATTAAACAAAATATATATTATTAAAATAATAACATTCATTGAATGTTACAAAGAATAAAGTGCGAAGCACATTTGCTTCAAAAAATTTATTTCTTCCGCTATTGATAAAATACCTTTTTATCGAAAACATTTTATTGAACTTTAATTATGTAAAGCTATCCATCAGACAAATAAAATTAATTTCATTTTCTTTCTTAATGTTGACTAAAACTATGTCTGAATGACAAAATAAAGACAATCCCATGCACTATAATCAATACCTGTTGTGTATTACGCAAATACGATGTTATACATTACACTTTTGTGGATGTAAAATAATTACAGACAAAAATATGCTAGTTCTGCTATTACCTCTGTTCTGTTTTAAGTTAACAAGTGCTCTTAATATCAATTTATTATAATATACTATTTAATTTACCAAAATAATTGTAAATACATTTAATTTACTGCAATAACATTTATTAATGTAACTTTAAAATTTTTGAAATTTTGTATTTGTAAGAAGAATGTATGATAGCTCAAATAAATACTACACTGTTGTTTTTCCGGTTAGAAATAATTACAGAAAAAGTTATTAAAAATGAAATAAAAACGCTGCTTCATTTGTCTCGCATCGTTATGATATAAAATAAAATATGTTGGTTTTAAAATGATTTTTAGTAATGAATATATTCGTAATATATATTCCACAATACATAGTTATACAACAAAAATAACAAATTAGTTTTACCTTTGTCTGTCAGTTAGCTTTGTCTGTGAGAAAGTTAAACTTCAAATTTCAAACTTTGAATGACACATTCATAAAAATCTTCAGTTTAGAAAACAAGACTCTTTGGAACAGCTCAACCTACTTTACCTTATAGTTATATAGTACTTATGCAAAAGTAGCCTTAAGACTGTTTGAAGATTTTAACAAGACAAATTAGATAACAAACACGGGCAGAATCAAGAGAAAAATACATCATATGCAGCATTTAGATGTAAACAAATATAAGTTTCTTTTTAAAATAAAATCATAAGTATCCTGAAAAATGTAGATGACTCCAGAATGAAAAAACAAGGGTAATAATAATGCGCTATTAGAGGTTTTACCTTTAGAATTTGTATAGTGCTGTGGAACTGTTGTAAAATGATATGTTTAACGTGTCTAAAGATTTTGTTACTGCTGTATGTACATATATCTAAAGATTTTTATACTTAATTATCTGCAAAAGGTTATAACATAAAATTATTGATGCTAATTCAGCCTGACTGAAGCATAAAGTTATCAGTCACTAATGAAATGATGAACAATAAGAAACAGCATACAACAAATGACTTAAAGTTGGTGACTTAGCGCTATAAAAAAGGCTTATATTATTGCTGCGGCATTTCATAAAAATAGACATGTCGTTACGACTCTTCCACTTTTAACAACAAGGACTATTAAAATGTACATTGCTGAAATACGTTTCTTGTTTTACTGTGTTTTTGTCTGGTGACTTAATTATTAAAAATCCCAAATTTTCATGTGCATACGTTCTAGAAGCTTTTAATAAATTAAAAGAAAAGTAGAAAATTTAACCCTCCGCGTAAGGTTCGACTTTCATATTTCTCAGTTCTGAAATACGAGATGGTTTTGTTTCTTTTTTTTATCTCCGTCTAAATTTATTAATATTCATATTTTTCTCAACAGTTTTTTAAATAATATACAAGAGTTTTATTTATTTATTTATTGGTTTTAAATTATATACTATAATACAGAGCATGCGATTTCAGCGGACATAATTTGGAAGTAAAAAAATGCCACGATGTACCGGGTGATCAAAAAGTCAGTATAAATTTGAAAACTTAATAAATCACGGAATAATGTAGATAGAGAGGTAAAAATAGACACACATACTTAGAATGACATGGGGTTTTATTAGAACCAAAAAAAAAAAAAGTTTATCGGGCCTTTTTTCTTCGAGGAAATGCGTGATTCTGGTTTTGTAACTGCTACCGTGACGGGTGAGAGGCATGTCGATATGTTACAGAATCGCATCGTCCCCAGCCTGGCTGATAAACACCTGCTGAAACGTACGATTTTTATGCAGGATGGCGCTCCACCCCATATTGCTAGACGTGTGAAAGATCTCTTGCGCGCGTCGTTTGGCGATGATCGTGTGCTCAGCCGCCACTTTCGTCATGCTTGGCTTCCCAGGTCCAGAGACCTCAGTCCGTGCGATTATTGGCTTTGGGGTTACCTGAAGTCGCAAGTGTATCCTGATCGACCGACATCTCTAGGGATGCTGAAAAAACACATCCGACGCCAATGCCTCACCATAACTCCGGACGTGCTTTACAGTGCTGTTCACAACATTATTCCTCAACTACAGCTATTGTTGAGGAATGATGATGAACATATTGAGCATTTCCTGTAAAGAACATCATCTTTGCTTTGTTTTAATTTGTTATGCTAATTATTGCTTTTCTGATCAGATTATTGCTTTTCTAATTATTGCTTTTCTAATAAAACCCCATTTCATTCTAAGTATGTCTGTCAATTTTTACCTCTCTATCTACATTATTCCGTGATTTATTAAGTTTTCAAATTTATATTGACTTTTTGATCACCCGGTATTTTTTTTTTTTTTTTTTTTGAATTTAACTTTTTACCTATTCGTTCTTTTAAAGACATTTTGCAATAAAACAGAAAATATAATGTTTGTAAAAAAGAAAAGTCAGTCTTGCGCTATATTAAATTCTTGGGAAGCTGATGAACAGTGAATTTAAATTCGGCGCTAAAATTTCTACACTATTCTGGAAACTTCTACCCTATTCTAAAAAGATACCTAATGTCGCCATTTAACGGTTTTATTAAGAACTCTTACTTGCTTCGTTATTGGTCATATCTTCTTCCGAAAATCCCCATCCATATTGGCCAATTTCTTCACAGTTTTTGAAATACTCGCTAAACACTGGTAGACAGCGTAGTTAAATTATGTTTTAAATGTACACTTTAAACGTAATTATTACACTTTAAACGCTTTAAAGGCAAGTTTTTAATCAATAGTCCGTTAAATTAGTGTATATTTAAGAGCGCGGTTATTAATGCGTACATGAAGAGCTCTTAAGTATGCATAAACAGCGCGGTTCCTGTGGCATGGTCTTTGAGAAGACAGTAATCTTTCTCTTGTTTCGAAATTCAATTCAGATTTCCTCAAGATTGGAATGAAATTGTAGATTTATACAACAGACAAATGCAGGGACGCTCTTCTTTCTTTATATATATTATATGCATAACAAGAGAGAAAATATTTAAAAGATAACAATTTGGTTTATTTAGAAATGTAACAAATTCCATAATTTTAGCTAACACCCTGCTTGCTAATTGTTTAGCTTCCATACACCTTAGCTAACACTGTTACTTTTAGTCATTATTATTATGCAATTTTTTTCTTGCTCGTGAAAAACTTTGAAGCGCAGCTCCAAACATAAGCCAGTTTAAAGACTTCACACCAAATATGAGCCTGTATACACATTTTCTTCCAATTTTACCTTCTTGGAGCACCACACTGCACACTGAATTTTAGGGTCCTTCTTTTTTAGGATTCGGTGATACATGGCTGGCAAAATACCTCTCTGCGAAGTTGATATAGCCCACAATATCATCTCTGGAACGTTTCGATGACCAGATCCTATCGTTAAAGATAATAAACAAGAAATAACTAGATAGAAAGAATAAATAAATAGAAAGAATACTAACACAATTTTACCCTGCGCAGAGAAAGAGTGAGATTCATACTGAAATCAAGGTAAAAGTATCTTCGCCGCAATTTCGACGTGAACCGTAGTAGCGCACAAAACTGACTTCTCAAACCAGCTCAAATCACGGAGGCTTAAATGTTGTACGAAATTGCATAGTTAAACTCTTAAAAAGCTATGTACAAAAAATAGAGAAGTACAGAGTATTCTCGATTATTAGGGGTTTTGCCAGAGAAGCAGGTTATGGATAAATGAAAAACATGCATAATCCAGACCATCGATTTTCATGCATATTGTATTTTTTATTTCTTAGCAAAATCAGTAATTTTACTTTTTTTGAGAACATTTAAAGGTCTGTCAAATTTCATTGCGTATTTTATCACTATGTTCGAATCTCCTTTGCTGGACGAAGTTGCTGGACTTCGTTCGTTATTGGAGTTTCTATGGAAGTCATTGCTGTTTCGAGATTAATGTAAATAAGGCAGGTGGTGTCAGTAGTCGGGTTGAATGCCAGTGACAAGACCGATGGAAGAACAATTAAGACCTTTCCCAGCAAGAAACAGGAAAACTAATTAGTGGCTATCTCGCAGGGCTGAAATTGCTAGAAAAGCCCCATTTTAAAGCATTTCATGTTTCTGCAATGTCAGTATCTTCGCTTGTATTTTCACTCTCTGCCTCTTCAGTTCTTGTGATATTGGAAAGATATCCGCATTACATAAGCCCTGAAAGGCCAGCTCAGTCGAATCGCCACTAACCCATTCCTTGATATTTTCCCGATAGGCATTTGCGAAGAATTTTTACATTTTCAGATTTTTGAAATACAACTTCAGTTATTGCCTCGATTCCTCACAGCTAGGTAAATCTTCATTTTCAATATTAGAAAGAATCTTTCTCCTTGTCGAGCTAGTGTAACTTGTTTTCTTTCCAATCTAAAACTTTAAATCAATTTTAAAAAAGAAGAAGAAAATATGTACCAAGTAAAAGAAATCCCAGTGACCAACTGAAGTGATACTTTCGACTGTACACATGTAGTATAAATTGTATAAATTAATTGTTGAAACTAAAATCTGCAGACAACAATTTTAAGAGAATGCCTCGACTTGAGCGTATTTGTTTCTTACATACTTTTGAGCATAGCGTTCGATGTCTCCGCGTAGCAACTGCCACGTAAGGATTTTTGAAAATTAAAAGAAAGTTAATTCTAAATTTCTTATCAGCTTTTCTATAAAAAATCAAAATAAAAAAAAAACATGTCTCTCATCTTTCTTCTTCCATCCAGGGCAAGCTTTCCTAGACAAAATTTCAACGAACTGTACTTGAAATCTATATTCCAAAAAGAGACTTTTATTTCAAATAATTCTCACATATCGAACTCAAAACCAGTAGTACAAAATGTTGCATATCTACACAAAAAATGGAAGATCGAAAAGAATTACAGCCAACGTCTTATATCGCTTTTTGAAATCTGAACTTTTATTGCCAATGTTGATGACATTTAAAAAAATGTAATAATAACATTTCACGCCGCGCCCTCTGGTGAAAACAATTTTTTTTCTTTAATATTTTCCTTTGGAGACCATTTTCAACAAGGATAATCGCAAACCAAATAATTCGCAACTGGATACTCGAACTAGTCTTGCATTTGGAATTCACGAGCGAAAAGCACTACCTTATCCATTTGACCCAAATTTTACAAAATTATTAAGGAATATAAATTGTATATATTCATCACGCTGTATTTGCAAATATCCAGCGTAAACGTTTCAGAAAGAAGCAACTGCACTAGATAAATATTAAATCATTTTCATGAATTACACATTATATTAAAAATTACAGTAAAACTTGGAAAGTAAGCTTATGATTAATAAAAGGCAGTCGTAAATTTAATACTGAAAGTACCTAATTTCCGGCAAGTACAACATACACACTCTAAACATTTTGTTCATTTTTCTCTGACCGGTTTTCGAAATGCATTTCATATGTAAATCTGTTTAATGCACTTATATGTATATACAAATTGTGCAACGAGATTTTCAATTTCACTTTTTTATTTCATTTTATTCCATATTGATTTATAAATTGTTAGGAATTCGAGAATAATTTATTGACACCTTTATATATTAAAAGTTGAGGAAAATTATGTGAAACAAATTAACTTAAAAATTTGTTAACTTAAAATACGCTTCCAGTTCTTTTCTTTCATATGAAATGCTTTCGTATTTTCATAAACGAATAAGCAAATGTGTTTTTGCAAACCACTCAAACTATGCTTTAGGTTGTTTTTTATTTTATTTTATTTTTTTTTTTTTTTTATTTTTTTTTTTTACATTCCTTAGCTCAAACTGCTAAAATGGAAATTTTTTATAGCTTCAGAAATAATGTAAGTACATAAACAGTAAAGAAAGTTTTCTGTAACAAAAGTAAAGTTCTTTCTACTGCAAATACACAGCGTAAAGTAATTTCCATATAACAAATACAGGATTACAATTATTGAACTATACGAAATAAAACGTAAATTACTTAAAGACGTCTGAGTGGACAAACTTTAATCAACACGCAAACGTCACTACAGATATTCAGATTTAGGTTATGACATGTCCGATATGCCTGCCGTCTTTGGCTATGACGTGGCGCAGACGAATAGCAAAATTCTGCGTTCTGTTTTCAGGCGTTTTCTAGTCGACCGACATTGCCAGCACAAACACTATCAGTTC